AGCAAAAAAAATTCTTTTATTTTTTTATAACTCGAAAACACGTAAATCGATTGAAGCCATTTTCAGAAGTGAGTTCCTAGATTCAATTAACGTCTTTTTATGGTTTTGATACAATTTCAGATACACAGGAATGATGGAAAAGTCATGTGTTCATCGGATATTACTCCATATTTTTTTTCTTGCTAGGCGACATGTACAGGGTGTCCCAATTTCGATGTCCGCATAGGCTATCTCCGAAACTAAAAGAGATAGAAAAAAAGTAGCTTACATGTCATGATCTCGTTTTTCGAGAAAATGCTAATGCCGAAAACTCCGAACAGCTATCGTCTTTTGTTTGCGCCCTATCGACAAAAACTGTAAATTTTGCGAAAACGACAATCGCGAATATCTCATTTATTATCAAAGATGGAGTATTATAAATAAAACATTATAGGGGCAACTTTATTTTTTTAAATGGAAACCATAGTTGGCTATGATCTAAAATAATTTGTTGTTTTCTTCTGATAACAAATATATATATAGTTTGTGGGGTATATTTCTTATAGTTATTGAATAATTAACAAAAATTCATTTTGTTCTATCTAAAACTAATGTATGTACATGCATTTCGGAGACACCTGTATACTACTAGAAAAGATTACGACCTGCTTGGAGCAGGGTAAATATTGCTGGGAGAAACTATTATCTGCTTAGAAAGACAAGATACTATTTCCAAAAGACTATTAACTACTTTCAGAATGCTAAATATTCTTGGAAAGACTACTAGTTGCTTGGAGAAAGCTAGATATTGTTGGCAATGCTTTCAGAAGACTATACAGTATGTCCACGGAAAAGGTGTTGAATAGGAAAAACTTTTTTATTTTTAATTTTATCGAAAAAGTTAATCTTGATAAAAAAATTTGCTAGTTCTTAGAGTAAGATTGGGATAGAAACATTTAACATATTTTATACGCGGTGTTCAGAAAATTGAAAAAACTTTAAATGGTACAAAAGTAAAGTGCATTTATTTGAGAAGATAAGGAAATAAGTTACTTGGAAAAATTGTTCAAAAGTAAAAAGTAATCTCTAATACCAATTTTCGAAAAGATCGGCCTACTTTTATTTATCTGTATTATCATTTTTGTACTAGTAGGCGTTGATAGTGATAAGCGTTATTGACACTTCGCTTTTATACTTTATTAGCCGTAGTATTGTCATCTTGAAATGCTTACTTTACAGCAAAAAATTTACTTGGTGTAATTGAGGAATTTAATGAAAACTTCCCCAATGTGTACGTTTCTGAGACTACTTGCCGTAAAATAATTTTGAAGTTTTCAAGCACTGGGTCATTGTTGCGAATACCTAGAGAAAAGAAGAGATACGATGAAAATGATGCAAGTACATTGTTGGCATTACATTCAGTAGAGGAACACCCGAAATTATCATTAAGAAGAAGAGCTGAATATCTCCAATTTGTTAAAATGTCGCAAATTCAGAAAATATTAAAACACAACAAGATACATCCATACAAGCCAGTTTTTAATAATGTTTTGGAAGTCGGCAATGAAGCAAAACGTTTGGATTTTTGTTTGTGGGTTGGCTGTATGGAAAGAGGATTTCATAAGAAAATGTTTTCTGATGAATCAACTTTTTCGACCAATGGTGGTGTGGCTTCGCAACATGCACAATATTGGAATGACTCTAATCCGCATTTTCGAATACCACGGAGGCGTCACACAGTGGTCCACAAGCGGTAAAATGTGAACGAAAATCAAATTTTCGAAATTTTTCTTTTCGTTTTTTTTTACATGTTACATGTACTTTAGGTCCTAATAGACTGAGGTGAAAGGAATAAAGTCTTATGTACTTTCTAGTGCCAACTGTACGCAATAAAACAGTGTTACAATTCTTGTGTATTAAATAATATCATAAAATGCTACAACTTTAGATGAAGAAAATATATTGTGTTCCACTTTATCAAGACAATGCGTTGTTGCTATATTGAACAGTATAGAAAGGTCTTCATTTGGCACTTTTCTAATTTTTAAAATATTTTTGCAGAAATACATAATAAGCACTTCTTTTAAATCTAATTAACACCTACTTGAAGTTACAACCAAATGTTTTAACATATACAGTGTGTCCCCGTAAGGTACATTTGACGATAAATTTTTGAATTCAAATTTAATTTTTTGCAATTAATGTCTGGATGTCATAAAACGAAATATAACCAAGTTTTACGTCAAATGTCCTCAAAGTATCAAAGTTAACGCAAGAAGTTTGTTAACCATTACAGGTAAAGTGGTTTTTCTGAGCAATGTACAACAAAAGTTGATTAAGATAAACTGTTTGCTATCTTAAATTATAGCGATATGCCGAATTTTATTAATTTAGGATATAAAAGCAGAATGTGCAGATTTTTAAATCATAAGATTAACAAAACATTTTCGATCTAAACTAAATTAACATAAAAGCTTATTCAATGATATCACCACCAACACTAACACATAATTCAGCCCTTTTCTCTAATAACAGTTTCAATTTTTTGTTTTAAACTAAATTTTAAATTCTTTGTAAATGGGATTTACTTATATCGACTTGAACTGCCCTTTGCCTTTATTGCGTTCGTTACTGCAACAATCGACCCCGCATCATATTCATCTGAAAGCTTTTTTTCCTTCCTTTTATTTTCCACATTGCCCGTTTCCGAAAATTTTTTAACAACTCTCTTAATTGTTTTTTTATCTACTAAAATTCCAAATATTTCCTCAAATTGCCATAAAACTGCATTGTAACAAATGTTCCACAATCCATAGCACTTCACTATAAATATTGTATGTTGTAATGTAAACATGATCAATTAATATTTGACAATAGGCTAAACCTAAGCTATCAAATGATAATTGTTAGTTCACTCAGATCATTTGTTTTTATTGTAAAACGGAATATTAGAAAAAAATTTTCAAGAAAAAACTCATTTTTTCTTTTATATGTTAAATTAATAAAATTCGGTATATCGCTATAATTTAACATAACAAACATTTTATTTTAATCATCTTTTGTTGTACATTGCTCAGAAAGACCACTTTACCTGCAACGGTTAACAAACTTCTTGCGTTAACTTTGGTACTTTGAGTATATTTGACGTAAAACTTGGTTATATTTCGTTTTATGACATCCAGACTTTAATTGCAAAAGATGGAATTTGAATTCAAAAATTTATCGTCAATTATACCTTACCGGGGACACACTGTATATCTGGCAGAAGACGCAAGAAGAACTTTTGGCGCTAGAATATTCTTATTCTTTGAGATGTGCTTTATATAACATGATAACCACATCTTGCTTTAACTTGCTCCTTACCAAGATATTAGCGATCAAAGATGATCAGTGCCTGAGTGTGTTATTTGACTGTTTTCATATAAAATGCTTATATTCTTTTTCTTAAAAGATAAATCTCGTATATTTGGTGTAAACCCGCATAACAATAATAGAATACCAGACTTAAAGTTTCAGGCATATTTAACAACCGTTGTTAGATACAATGCGGCAAAAAACTGGAACACTTGAAATATCTACTTTTTTATAAGTACGAAGGTTTTCACGGCCGGAGTTAATTGAACTAAAATTAGAACTAAAACTAGTACTAACTAATTAAACTGGTTCGAAGTGTTTCTGAAGAAGGTTGCAACATGGCATCCGAAACGTCAAACCTTTTCTTAGAAGACGCACGACAAAACCCGAAAGTTTCTAGTGTTAGTTGATGAACGGTAGAGCTAGAAGGTTTTAAGTTTGATTTGTCTGTTCTCCATGCATACATTGGGTTTTTTGTGTGTCTGCTTCACATTTCATATAAATTAAAAATTAGAACTTGGAAGGTGACTGGTTCATACGTACTTTTACTAAATTATCATCAGAGATTTCATTAAACAGTGGGTACAATATTAATTGCAATGAATTTGATAAATACTGTTTCAAAACTGCCGAAAAGTACGTCCATTTTATGGTTGGTACTATATGCCAACCAGCGTTCATAAAATTTTGATACATGGATCTGCAGTCATTAAAGAACCTCTACTACCTATTGGAGAGTTGTCGGAAGAAGCGCAAGAAGCTAATAACAAAAAAATTTGAAAATTTAGAGAGAGCCACACAAGGAAATGTAGTAGACTGGATACGAATGAAGATCTATTTAAAAGACTGCTACTCAGCTCAGATCCATTTATAAGTAATTTTCAACAGCACATTTCTAGAAAACATAAAAAGATGAGTATGGAGACTAAAAGATTACTTATAATAGACAATGTAGAAGACCAGGAAGAAGAAAAAGATCGCGAAGAAGAAGATGAATATGACGAAGAACAAGAATCAGAACAAGAGCTATATGAGGCAGGATGCAACGAAGATGAAGATGACGAAGAATGGTCTGAAACAGAACAAGAAGAAACACACATTGTTAAGCAACGTAGATAATTTATAGAGAATTAAATTCCCTTTCTGATAGGCTAAAAAAGCATGGTGCGTTCCATTTAAAATTTTCTACTTTCTCGCCATTGAAAATGGAGAAACAATAATTCAATTTTTGACCACCTTGTATAAGATACTCCGATACAACAAATGACAATCTATTTGACAGCATCTGAAGAATAATCGTACCAATTTAGACCTTTTTTGAATGAACGTTGGCTGAGATATGGGGTTTTAAAGAGCATGGTGAAATTTACCAAAAAAAGTTTAGAACCAAAATAACTCGAAAACGAAAAACGCTAGGTACCAATAACTTTTATCAAAGTTAACCTATTTTTTTACGTACAATTAAATGGTGTAATAAAAACTATAGCATTCTATTTAAAATAACGAAGTTATGGTCTACTTCCGGTAGACCGGAAGTGGCAGCCATCTTGAAAATATTTTAGATTGAAAGTTCCGAATGAACAACCCATGCTACCAAAATTTCAAAATTGTACGAATAGTGGAACCTGAAAAAGTTCTAACGAACCAGTTACGTGAGACACTCTGTAGTTAAAGATTTATTTATAGAAACCTTACATCGAAGTAAACTATATAACCAATTTAGTTTAAACAATTTTGTATTTAGCTATACTTCACGATTTAATAGCGTTGTATAAAATTTTGTATTTATCCAATTCTAAGAACCTAAATTATATGAAAAAAGTAGAATGAGAAGTAGAAGTTAAGAAATTTCCTCGATGGTGAATTAGACAATCTTCCATTAGAATACAGTCGTTCATTTTATTTTCAACAAGATGGATGCCCAGCACATTATTGGGCAACGGTTAGACCATACGTTTCCAGACCACTGGATTGGGAGACAAGGACCAGTTCAGTGGCCTCCTAGGAGTCCAGATTTAACATTAATGGATTTTTTCCTATGGAGCTGATTGAAACAAATTGTTTATCGCACACCTCAAATAAATGCCACTACTGATCAATTAAAGGATGCGATTAGAGAAGTCGTTGCTTCAATATCTTTACATAGTATATTTTTAGTTACATTGTTTTCATCATTTTAGATAATGCATTTTTTTACCACTGAGTATATTTGATTAAATTTACTTCTCCTCCTGAAGACCCCGCACTCGTTCGATTAGTATCGTAAGGATTACAAGTCCTCTCATGAATTAAATTGTTCGATTCCCAAAATAAACACAATTCGGGCGTGTTTGAAACTAAAATTGGAATAGCCCCGGCTTCCCTTAACTTTTTAACAGCGATTCCATCCGATTTTGCAACGACTCCTCTACGAAGTTTTGAACCAACGCTATAAGACATTCCTTGCAAACTACAACTTTCTTTGACAGTTATTGGAACTCCCAATAAAGGATATTTAACTTTTAATTCATTTTCGGTTAAATCACACGATTTTAAATAACCATCGACGTTTTTAGCTTCGGCCAAAGCGATGTCAAATCGATTTTGAACCACAGCTTTTAAAATTATATCGACTACTTTTACACGGTCGATATAAGCTTTGATAATTTGTTCGGATGTGAGCTTAAAGTTGGATTAATTTAATATTAATTAATTTAAAAAGTTGGACTTACCTCTCGATTTCTAATTTTTTCTGATAGTTTTGTTGCACTATAAAATAAGATGGGGTTATCGATTTTTGGAATTATTTTCTTGGGTTTTTTCGAAATCCACCAAAAATACGGTATTAATAAAACTGCCAGGATTTTTTGTGCGAATAAAATTAATAAATATCCGAATTCTACCATCTTTTTAATTCTTGTTTGATTGTTTTCGAATGCTTGTTCATCCGGTGCGTTCTTCGGAGATTGTGAAAGCGATTTAACGTTCTGTGGCGTGCCGTTGTACCTACATAGAGCATTATTAAAGTCGGAGAAATCTGATGTTCTTTTCGTTTTGTTCGGCCTTTTTGTTATTTTCTTTTTTTCGAATAGATTCTTATGCAATGAGGTTGACAAGGAATAAAAAATGTATTGCTCAAACGAATTGTTGCAAGAAATAATTGCTTTTAGATGTTTAGCTAATTTATGAAATAAATTTAACGCTATTTTTTTGTTGTTGAGGATCTAAAGCTTTTAGAGTAGCCCAGCAAATTTTGGTTTTAATAACAAATTAATTAAAACTTGTTTATTAAGAAAGCAAACAATTTTTGTTTGTGTGAAATTGTTTGAAGATTTTAATGATATTCACTTGGTGATCTTTAAGAAGAGAAAGTAAAATTTGTTGATGATGCAATGCGTTCTTTAATTTTAAGGTGAACGATCTTTTATTATTGATAAAGATTAAATTTAATATGGAGTTGCGTCCTTAACATTGAGATTTTAATCTCTAAATTATCTTTCCTATTTTTGATTAACCTTGTAACCGTTTTCTTTATTAATATTAATTTGCATAATCAATAAATTCAGATTTTTTTAATGATCTTAGAAGCTTTTTGAATCTTAATTGATGATTTATTGAGTTTATAATTGAACCGCGTTATATGGCATAAATTTAATCACAAATTCTAGAGTCAAAATGATGTTTCGTGTAAAAATTTTTGAAGAAAATTATCTAGAGTTTCATTTTGTACTTTTCAACTGGTTTCTATTTTAAGCGCCCTTCACTCGATCAATATATATTGTCAATATGGCCAATAAATATTGACAAACTGTAATTGCCTCAGACTATCAATATTTATACATATAACAAAGACACATACGTGTCTTCTAAAGAGAGACACGTTTTCCCAAAAAATGAGGTTTGCGTATCTACGCCAAAAGATTTTCAAGATTTTTTCCTCAGACTATCAATATTTATTGTCAATATATCAAATATTTTCGTTTTCGTCAAACCATCCCATCAATACTTTCAATATTGACAAAATGTCAATCTTTCTACTCACACGTTCAATAATATTGTCAATACTCAGATATTGACAATATACCGGGTGTCCAATTAGTGCGATATCGGACGATATCTCCTTACAGGGTGTCGCTAGAAGAAAATGTTTATATATAAAGTTGTTTGGTGCTCGAAGGTGCATAACCTAAAAATATTTTTGTTTATACAGGTGTTCCAAAAACAAAGTATAAGGTACAACTTTGTACATTTAAATGGACCACCCCATATTTTATTACATTTTTGAATTACCCTTAAAATTCGACATACTTTATGTTAAGCATTACCTATACAAAAATTTGACCGTTTTTGAAATATTCAACATTTTGTGAAAAAATCTCCGTCTGCACGTTTAATTTATTTATCAATTTATTTAAGACCCTACAAAGCAAATCTTTTGTAGATTATTAATGCGTAGTTACAGTAACTTCATGCCCCTATACAAATCTGGTAACGTTCTACAGGGTGTTCGTAATATTGTACTCAATACCAGAAACTTGAAATAGCTATATCTCATTTTTTTTAAATGGAATGCCTCATATTTTTTTATCTTAAATTATTCACCAAGTAATAAGGTTTCTTTTTTATAAAGCATGTTCTATACCTATTTGCAATAGTTATCGAGTTATTTATAGGACAATAGGTACGAAGTTACGAATATTACGAAGTTCTACCTTGTACTTTGTTTTTGCAACACCCTGTATAAACAAAAATATTTTTGGGTTATGCACCTTCGAGCACCAAACAACTTTATATATAAACATTTTCTTCTAGCGACACCCTGTAGGGAAATATCGTCCGATATCGCACTAATTGGACACCCTGTATATTGACCGAGTGAAGGGCGCTTTATATAGACTTTAAGTCTAACCATCTTCAGCAACTCTACAAATAAATTAACATCCCTCATCCTACCCATTTTAAACGACTCATTTTAAAGGTTTTTTTAATAAAGAATACATCATGAAAGAGCACCATGAAGTTGTCTATTATATGATAATTAACTTCAGGTTTAAAATGTCAACCTCAATTTTGACATATTTGTAATCTNTATTTTCGTTTTCGTCAAACCATCCCATCAATACTTTCAATATTGACAAAATGTCAATCTTTCTACTCACACGTTCAATAATATTGTCAATACTCAGATATTGACAATATACCGGGTGTCCAATTAGTGCGATATCGGACGATATCTCCTTACAGGGTGTCGCTAGAAGAAAATGTTTATATATAAAGTTGTTTGGTGCTCGAAGGTGCATAACCTAAAAATATTTTTGTTTATACAGGTGTTCCAAAAACAAAGTATAAGGTACAACTTTGTACATTTAAATGGACCACCCCATATTTTATTACATTTTTGAATTACCCTTAAAATTCGACATACTTTATGTTAAGCATTACCTATACAAAAATTTGACCGTTTTTGAAATATTCAACATTTTGTGAAAAAATCTCCGTCTGCACGTTTAATTTATTTATCAATTTATTTAAGACCCTACAAAGCAAATCTTTTGTAGATTATTAATGCGTAGTTACAGTAACTTCATGCCCCTATACAAATCTGGTAACGTTCTACAGGGTGTTCGTAATATTGTACTCAATACCAGAAACTTGAAATAGCTATATCTCATTTTTTTTTAATGGAATGCCTCATAAAATATTTTTTATCTTAAATTATTCACCTATTTGCAATAGTTATCAAGTTATTTATAGGACAATAGGTACGAAGTTACGAATATTACGAAGTTCTACCTTGTACATTGTTTTTGCAACACCCTGTATAAACAAAAATATTTTTGGGTTATGCACCTTCGAGCACCAAACAACTTTATATATAAACATTTTCTTCTAGCGACACCCTGTAAGGAAATATCGTCCGATATCGCACTAATTGGACACCCGGTATATTGTCAATATCTGAGTATTGACAATATTATTGAACGTGTGAGTAGAAAGATTGACATTTTGTCAATATTGAAAGTATTGATGGGATGGTTTGACGAAAACGAAAATATTTGATATATTGACAATAAATATTGATAGTCTGAGGAAAAAATCTTGAAAATCTTTTGGCGTAGATACGCAAACCTCATTTTTTGGGAAAACGTGTCTCTCTTTAGAAGACACGTATGTGTCTTTGTTATATGTATAAATATTGATAGTCTGAGGCAATTACAGTTTGTCAATATTTATTGGCCATATTGACAATATATATTGATCGAGTGAAGGGCGCTTAAAATAGAAACCAGTTGAAAAGTACAAAATGAAACTCTAGATAATTTTCTTCAAAAATTTTTACACGAAACATCATTTTGACTCTAGTATTTGTGATTAAATTTCTGCCACGACTTACAGAAACAGCCTGTATAATTGTAAAACGACTGATCAAGCGGATTCTGTACTTGTGATGGCTGTCATCAGTGTTCTGTGATAAAAATAGATAGGCACAATTTTCAATAGTTTGAGCCTATCTATTCTGAGAAGTCATATTTTTAGAGAGATGAAAACGAAAATCCCGTTTTTCTCAACATTGTTCATTTGTCGCTTAGTCAAGTGATGCATAACGCGGTCC